ACTTTACTGGATAAACCACCACCTCGTGGTGATACACAGATTAATGGAGATGGGTTAATTTAAGATAAGAGCTAGCCAGAAATACGCTTAAGCTATCGGCCAAACAGTATTGAAAATAATATGGGTTCTGTGTGATTATTTTGGGGCTGAGCAGCCAGGAACAAACAAGTGGCCTCCTATAACAAGGATGCTCTCACCAATGTACATATTATCTATGATGCCATGATCTAACTCCCCAACATTTCCATGATCCCAGAAGGAAGTGGGAAGCATCCAGCAGTCGCTTCCTGTCTTTAATCTGACTTCATCTCCATGGGTTTGTTTTGCTCTTTATTTTCAGTTTTTATTGATTCTTTGTAGATTTTACATCTTGCTTCCTGATCCCACTCATCTTCCGGTCCTGTCAACTTCCATCTTTTGTCCTTGCAACCTTATTCCAACACAAAGCCAAAACCCAAAAAACAAAATGAAATAAACAGAACCCCAAATAAAAACAAATTAAAAATAAAATCTCATGGTGGAAGCTGTACTGTGGCCCAGTGAGTCACACAGTATACCCTCAGTCCATATGTCTTTACTTGTAAGGGTTCCTACAATGAGTCATTGGCCTGGTTTGAGGCCTCTGGCTTCTGCCACACCCTGGATAATGGGCCCTCACTGGGACTCCTCTTGGATTTCCTATTGTTGCCTTGTGTCATGGAGATCCTGTGACTTTGTATCTGCAGGTCCAGCCCCTTCACGTGCTCTGGTAGTTAGTTCATGGATGAAGTGGGTGTTGGTGTGGGCTACCTTGTATTTGTGGTCCTGGGTGATGGCTGGGTTGGTCAGCCTGCCAGCTTTTCCTCCTCCTCACCACCGGGGGGAAGCTCCCCAGCACTGCTCCAGCTCTCTCACTTGATGTAGCAGACAAGAAGGAACAGGGCCAGTTCTCCTGCGCTCACACCCTCTGTTGTGGAATAGTACTTTAATATTTAATAGTCCAAGATGTGTAACATTTGTTTATCCTGCAGAATATTACTTCAAGTATACAAAGGTGTGTTACAATGCTTTTTGTTGTATTTGTTTAATTATGTAAAGATGTGTTGCTGTTGCACCTTGCCTGCCTAAGGCACCTGATTGGTCTAATAAAGAGCTGAATGGACAATAGCTAGGCAGTAGAGGGATGGGTGGGGCTGGTGGCCAGGGAGAATAAGTAGGAGAAATCTAGGTTTGAGGGTGAAGAAGAGAGGGATATGCCTGGGGCCATCCAGGCAGCGGCTAGCCAGTAGACACACAGTAGGACATATAGAAAGAAAGGTAAAAATCCCTGAGGCAAACGTAGGTGAAGAGAAACAGGTTAATGTAAGTTACAGAAACATAAGCTAAGGCTGAGCATTCATATCTAATAATAAGTCTCTGTCATGATTTGGGAGCTGGTTGGTGGCCTAAAAGAAAGCTTACCTGCCCCCACACCATCAGTGCCAGCTCTACTGTTTGCCCAGGTGAGGTGCGGGTCCTGCTCTCCGGATTGCTGGGCTTGGTGAGGGGCAGGGACAGCTCTTCAATTCTCATGCCCCCCAGGCCAGCTCTCCTGTCTGTCTCAGGTGTCGGCAGTGGGGAGAGAGGGGTGGGGAGGACATCTTTCCCATAGCCCTGCCACCCCATGGCATACAGGGGAGGGGTGGGAGTAACCCTCCTGCTCTCATGCCCAGCTCACCTGTGCCCCCATCAGTGGGATCAGCTCTACTGTGCTGCCCAGGTGAGGGGCAGGGCTTGTTCTTCCTAGTGCCACCACTGATGGGGGTAGTGCCAATTCTCCCACTCTTATGTCCCCAGGGCCAGCTTTCACACCTGCCACAGGTGGCTAGGGGCAGGGGAAGGGGGAGGTCAACTCTTCCTCACCCACTCCACCATATGGCGGATGAAGGTGGGGCCAGATCTCCCATGCACATTTGTGGCACCTGATCTCCTGCCCCACCCTCCGGTGGGATCAGCTCTACTCTGCTGCCTGGGCTAGGTGCAGGGCCCACTCTCCTGAGTGCTGCAGGCAGTGAGGGGCAGGATCAGCTCTCCCAACCTCAAGGCCCCTGGGACCAGCTCTTCCTACCTGCAGCAGGTGGTGAGGGTCAAGGGTCAAGGATTAAGGGGCGCATTTCTCCCTTGTCCAAACTACGATGTGGCAGACCACGGGCCTAGCTCTCCTACTCAGGCATGTTTAGGGCCGGCTTGCCTGCACCTCTATCAGCAGAACAGCTCTCCTATGCTACCCCAGGGAGATGCAAGGCCTGCTCTCCAGAGTGGTATAGTTGGCGAGGGGGGGCTAGTTCTCCCTAGTGCTGCAGCCAGTGAGGGGCAGGACCAACTGACTCTGTGTGCACTATCCTTACTGCTTTAGGTGCTAACTGGAGCCATGGACATCAACACTGACTGTGGCTGCAGCAGGGCCACTGACCCAGACATCACCCCTGGCAGCAGCCCAGGCCCAGACATCACCCTGGCTCTGGGTGGCAAGCAGAATGTCTACCTCTGCCTGTTCCTCACTTCTCTTGCCTCTTGAGATCTGCCTTTCTCTCCAGCATGTAAATGGTTCTGCCTTCCCTCCCTTTCCTCCCTCCTTTCCTCCTTTCCTCCATCCCTCCCTCCCTTCTTCCCTCTCTCCCTCCCCCTCTCTCCCCCCTCCCCGCCTCCCATTTCATCACCCTGTACTCATTCACCATAATGGTGCCTAAATACCTGGTGCCTGAGACTCAGCAGGCTCATGGGTGAAATTCTTCCCACGTTAGATCTAGAGGCCTGGGGTGGAGCTGTGCTTGTTCTCCAGAGTCTAGGAGCTATGGATTATTCCTGTAAATCAGAAGATAGATACATTATGGATTTCTGTGTTTGGCTTCTTTCATTTAACGGACTGTCTTCAAAGTTCATCTTTTCGAACTCTGATTGAGCTTCAGTTTCTGTGAGCCCCTATGAGTCCTGCTTAGTTGATTCTGTGGGCCGTGTTCTCCTGGTGTTCTCACCCCCCCTGGCTCTTATAGTTTTTCCTCTCTTTCTTCTGCTGGGTTCCCAGAGGGCCAAGAGGAAGGATGAGATGAAGACTTCCAATTTGAGATCTCTCTCTCTCTCTGCCTAATGTTCAGCTGTGGGTCTCTGCATCTGCTCCTACCAGCAGCCAGCGGAAGCCTCTCTAGTGTCTAGGCACCTATCTATGAGTATAAGAGAATATCATTAGAGATCATTTCCTCGATCTTTTTTATTTTTTTTAATTATTTTTTTATTATGCATACAATGTTCTGTCTGCATGTACGCCTGCCTGCCAGAAGAGGGCACCAGGTCTCATAGATGGTTGTGAGCCACCATGTGGTTGCTGGGAATTGAACTCAGGACCTCTGGAAGAGCAGCCAGTGTTCTTTACCTCTGAGCCATCTCTCAAGCCTCCTTGATCTTTTTTCTATCCTAGGTCTCCAGACATCCAGCTTCTGGGTCCTGGTCATCCAGGCCATGTAGGAAGTGGCCTTAAGTTAGACCAGTCACTGGTGGGCCACTCCCACAAGTTCTGTGCCTCCATTGACCCAGCACATCTTGCAGGCAGGAGAGTTTGAATCTTGAAGGTTTTGTGGCTTGGTTGGTGCCCCAGTCCCACCACTGGGAGTCTTGCCTGGTTATAGAAGATGGCCAGTTCAGGCTCTGAATCCTCTGTTACTAAGAGTCCTCACTAGGGTCACCCTTGTAAATAAAATCCTGGGAGTTTCTACTGCACTAGATTTCCTACTGGGTTGCCTCACCCAGTCTTGATACGAGGGTTTCAATTCATTTTGTTTTTTTAAAACATGAGTTATTTGTATATTTGTTTGCTTGTTATTTGTATGTGTTTGCTTGCCTGGGCTCATGTGTACCACACATATACAGAGGCCCATAGAGGCCAGAAGAGGGTGTTTGATCCTCTGGAATTGGAATGACTAGGAAGCTATGAGCCTTCATGTGAGTGTTAGGAACTGAACCCAGGTCTTCTTGTTAACCACTGAGCCATCTCCCCTGTTTTCAATTCCGTGGGGGGCCTACACCCAGGTGTAAATTGCTGGATTCCAAGGTGATTTTCTATTTGGCTTGCCAAGTAAATAACCAAGGTAGTTATTGCCTAGTTCACATTCCCACCAGCAATGTAGGACATTTCCAATTACTCTGTGTCTCAGTCAACACTTAGTTTCTCTCTTGAAAATGTTTCCTAACCTGTGTGCTTCTCTTTCCTTCCCCTGTTCTTCAAAGATGTATTTATTTTTATTCAGTGCGTGTGTCCGTGCGCACGTGTGTGTGTGTGTGTGTGTGTGTGTGTGTGTGTGTGTGTACGTGCATGTCTGAATCTGTAGCATGTGCATGTCGGTGCCTCAGAGGCCAGAGGAGAGTGTCAGAGCCACCGAAACTAGAGTTACAGGAGGTTGGGAGCCACCTGATGTGAATGCTGAGAACCGATCCCGCGTCCTCTGGAAGGGCAATATGTCCTCTTCACTGCTGAGTAGTCCCTCGGTCCCTGCTCCTTCTGTTGACAGGCATTGACTAGTGGTGTGAAGTTGTGGGTTTCACTGTGACGTTTTCATCCATGAATAAAGCTATCCATTGCTCCTGCTGCTCTTCCTTGTTCTTCCTCTCTCCCCGAGTCCTTCTTCACGTCACAAATGGTCCTCTTTCTGTCTTTACATCTTTTTATTTTTAACTGCTTATTTAAAATTTTCCTTTATTCCTATTATTATTAGTAGTATGTGTGTGTAAGTCATGTGTGAGAATGTGGGTGCATTTGTGCTCTGCTGAGCATGTGGGGGTGAGAAGATCACTGTGTGGAGTTAGCTTTCCCATTCCCCCTTGTGGTGCTTTAAATGAGAATGGCCCTAACTTCACAGATTTAAATACTTAACCAGGGAGTAACACTATTGGAAAGGATTAGGAGGTGTGGCCTCGTTGGAGGAAGTATTTCAGGTTTCAGAAAGCCCATTCGAGCCAAATCTCTCCTTTCCTGCTGCCTGTGGATCCAGATGTGGGTGGAACTTGCAGCTTCTTCTCCAGCATCAGGTCTTCTTGCGCGCCACCATGCTCCCTGCCGTGATGACAAACCTCGGAAACTGTAAGCAACCCCCAATTAAATGCTTTCCTTTTATTTGTTGTTTAATTCTTGTTTTTTTGAGGCAGGGTTTCTCTGTGTACCTTTGGCGGTCCTGGAATTCGCTAACTCAGAAATCTTCCTGCCTCTGCCTTCTGAGTGCTAGGATTAAAGTGTGCACCCCCACTGCCTGGCAAATGCTTTCTTTTATAAGAGTTGCCATGGTCATGATGCCTCTTCCCAGCATAGACCACTGACTAAGACACCTTCCTGTGGATTCCAGGGAATCAGTGTGTCAATCATTGCTACCCACTTTGCCACCTCTCCAGCCCCCTTCGTTTCTGAATCTAGATTATCAAGGTAGACACTTTACAAAGGATTTTAATCTTCAGTGTAAATTCTTATCTCTCTGTTGGGTGTATCTGTAACACCATATTGGTATTTTCTATACCGTTTATTTTATGATTACATATTTGGTGGGACAGTTTTGACTTTCCACCCACTTATCTTCTTGGTGCAGTGTGTGATTTCTGGCTGAGCCAAATGGCCATCTCTCGTGATGCCACGGTGTGTGTGGGACAGTCAGTTGACTTGCTGCTGCTGATTGCTATGGACGGTTCTCATCTTCTTGGGGAATTTTTACAGGTTTATAACTGCAGTGGCAACTGTTCTTGGAGACGTTTTCCTTTCGATCTTTTATTTTTCAACATCCAAAAAATTCCATGGCCACAAATACAAGGTGAAGGATCATTCTTTCTGTTATGATTTCAGAAAGAATACATCTGTAGGAAAGGCGCTGTTGTTCAAAGGAAGCAGCCACTTCCTCCACTGGAAAGGATTTCAGGCCAGTGTTGTGGCAGGCCTAAGACTTTCCCTGCCTGTTTTCCCTTGTCTGAGAGACAAGGTTTCGGAATAAGACACACAAGAACCGCCCAAGCAGCGGCAGAGTTTACACACACTGTTTGGCTCAGGCTGAAGACACGGACCTAAAGTTCAGAATCCACATTTAAAACAGTCATTCTTTTCCTTTTTAAAAAAGTTGCTTAGGGGTGATCAAAGCTGTCCACATTTCCAACTGTCCCAGTCTGCTTTTCATAGGAGGCCTTGAGTTAATCACAAAGATCCAGTGATCAATAAAGATGATAAAGAGCAATGCAAATAATCTCAGCACTCCAAAGGAAGAGGCAGGTGGGTCTTTGTAAGTTCGAGGTTAGCCTGGTCTACATGGAGAGTTCCCGACCAGCCAGGGCTACATAGTGAGACCTGTCTCAATAAGAGAAAAAAAAGTTGGTCAATTAGTGTTAATAGGTTAAGCCTTGGGTTGTTCCTGACTTTCTCATACAGTTCCCCAAAGAAACATCCAGACAGAAATCAATGTATGGAAACCATGGCAATACTCATGCATGCTGTATCATTCGGAAAGAAATATGTCTTTGTTCCAAAGGAAATCATCATCAATACTATAAGCTGTCTCTGAGGATGATTGACAGACATCAAAGTGTAGACAATTCACTTAAGTGGGGCGGAAACCATTAGTTGTGTAAGGACTTTGAAGAGTGTTGTGGATATAGTTCAGGTGTCAGAGAGCTTTGGCTAGTTTGCGTGAAGCCCTGGGTTTGATCCCCAGAACCACATAAACTGGACGTGGTGACCTGTAACCCAAGCACTTGGGGGTTGAGGCAGGAGGATCAGAAGTTCAAGATCCTTGACTCCATAGCAAGTTTTGAAGCCAGCATGGGCTGCATGAGACCCTGTCTCAAATTAAAAATAAATAAATGAAAGTAAAAAAGAAAGAAAATTATTAAGAGACTCATAGGGACTGAAAGGCAAAGAAAACACACAGTATTTTTTAACCACAAGCTTTAAAAAGCAGACTTGCACCATGGCAGACACCCAGGCTTTCAGAGAGTGGGTGATATTAATTTGAATAATGCAAAAGAGAAAAAAGGCTATACATCAAGGTGAGCTAAAATATTTCAGAAGATCAGATTATCTGGGGGAATCTTTAATGGTTATCGCTAAAGGAACTGGAGTTCTGCATGGACCTGCGGCTCAACAGTGACCATACTGCGCCTTAGCTCCAGGTGCCCAGATGAGGCAAGGAGGTGGGGTGAGGAAGAGGCGGGGAATGAGAGGAATGTCAACAAAGATGTGCGGTACCAAGTGTGGACAAAGGTCACAAGAGGACAGGACCGGAGGAACAAGAGGAGGAAGCCTGTGCTCTCAGAGATGGCGCAGTGGAGGAACTCAACAGAGCAAATGCCGCAAGCCCAGCCTTGAAGTAAGTTTGCACGAGGAGACAGTGGACGAGGACTGTGTGGACAGCGAAGGTGCCATCGGCTACAAAGCCGAAGCCGGAGGGACTGAGCATGCTCAGCTCTAGAGGCACAAGATGTCAACCAACTCTTCCCAAGGCTCAGGGAACAGCATGGAAGGGGGCGGAGAGAAGGACAGAGTCGAAGGCTGGACCGGAGTGCTGTGAAGTGGGTTGGCCTCTGTACAGACCAGGACCAGCGCTCATGAACTCACCGTGGCTGTGATTACCTGTACAATACCCGCACAGCATCATGCCTACCAACATGACGTCACGGGAGGGGGAGGGCCTCACAAGCCCCCACCCCCACTGAGGAGCTATTTGCAGTTGCTGGGAGAAGAGACAATCTACCCTAATGTGCGTACTACTGACCCTGGTTGGGCTCAGTGGAATAGTTTTTTAAAAAGAAAAAAAAAAAGAGGACATAGCAGGTGTGCTCACACACTCTTTTAATCCCAGCACCCAAGAGGCAGAGGCAGGAGGATCTCTGTGACTTCAGCCCAGCCTGGTCTACAGAGTGAGTTTTAGGACATACAAAACTACATAGAAAGACATCCCCCCTCTCTCTCTCACACACACACACACATACACACTCACAAACACACGAATGCAATTTTCCCCACCAAAAAATATCAAAAACAAAAAAACCAACCCCCCAAAACCAACCAAACAAAAAGAAAGGCATGAAGCTGGGGGCAGGGATTGTTAAGAGAGGGCCCTGTGTGGGGGTTTGGAACAGGAGGGTTCTTAATTGCCTCAAAGGGCTCCCAGAACCCATAGTTGACTTTGTGTGTGCAAGATATCTCTATTATATCAGACGAGTGAGATCCCAGGTCATTCTGGGTTATAGCATTGTCTACTCTGGCCGGCACACGGGGTGATTTCAGTCTTACAAGTCTCTTTTAGGGCATTTATCACACACACACACACATACGCACACACGCGCGCGCACACACACACACGTGCACACACATAGACACTGAAGGAATGACAGATACAGCAGTAGTAGCTCGTGGGAACTAACTAGGAACTCTGGGGTAAATTATGACGCTTCTTGAGCTCTCAGATACTGTTTTACTGTCAGAACATGTCTTTTCCCTACACATTTGCAGTTTCTTTAAATTTGCAAAACGGGGTCCTTATTACCCTCGTAATAGAATATTGTGAAAATGAAGAGTTGCCATATGGAAAACGTCTAGACCATTGACTAGCACATAGCAGCGCCAGAACCATCCTGGGAGAGTATCAGAAATTCGATCCCATAATTAGCTTGGTAAATTTCTGATGCGATTCACAGATGGGTGTTGTTTACATTGGTGGCATCTTGTCCTTTGAACATTCCCAGTTAAGATCTGAACTCTTTGGCTTTCACTGTGGTGTCTGGCAGCTGTGCCCAGGTTGACACACGGGTAAGCGTTCAGGAAATAATAGCCATTGTTATTCTACTGGGGTCCTTCACAAGGAAGTCAGAGCAGAATTGCCGCTGTGGACGCTGATTAGCCTCCAGGTTAGGCCAGGGCGCCGGGTTCTACATGGCCAAGGCTGTTAGCCGGGTGGTGGTGTGCAATTGATTGGATCCGTGCCAGACTCGTTTGTTCCGAAGACCAGAGGAGCTGGATGGAACCACGGCATGGCTGTGTTCGAATCATGCTTACCCTCGAATTACTATTCTCCATAGACAATCATGGGAAGTGCCGGGTGTGGGTGGGTTGGTGGATTTCCAAGACCCTGATCATGCTGCCATGGTTAGTTCCCAGCTTCCCCGCTTGGTAACAATGGAAGCTCCAAAAAAGAGTTCCATTTCCCTACTTTTGAATGGAGTACTTTGACTAGTGGGCACGTTTCCTGGCCTAATATTTACACACACACACACACACACACACACACAGAGACTCACACTTTTAAAGGTCGTTTTGTTATGGAAACATATCAGAGCGCCGGCATGGCTCTTTTTTTTTTTTTTTTTTTTTTTTTTTTTTTTTTTTGTGCAAGAATGAGTTCAAAGCAAGGTCAGATGCCTAAAAAGCAGTGAGGGTTCCTGAGCTATTTTTGTACTCGCAACAAACTACTAAGGGAGGTGCATATGTATGTTTTTCTCTGTGGGGGGTATTCTTTAAGAACGAGCTTTTTGGCATGCAGTTCACACACTGTACAAGTTGCCTTTTAAACTATTTAATTCAATAGCCATTAGGGTTGGGCTTCGTGATTTTCATGTAGGAAAAAGCATCTTAGGTTCTTCCCCCTTAATTATTATCTTTCTCTTCTTTCACACAGGTATCAGGAGGCCCCTAGAACTCACCGTCTCCAGAAGCCCCTTCCCTGTGCCACGCATACAAATGCTCAAATCTAGTTACACGTCTTACCTGGTTTTCTGGTCTTGTGCCTTCCTTCCTCCTCTGGCTGTCTCTCTCAGATCTTTAATGTATAAATCAATTGGAACTTGTCCACTTCTCTGTTTCCTCTTTATTTGCCGGTGATTTGGATTCTGAACATCAAAGGACAATTATTTTTTTTTTTTTTTTTTTTTTTTTTAGTTTTTCAAGACAGGGTTTCTCTGTGGCTTTTGGAGCCTGTCCTGGAACTAGCTCTGTAGACCAGGCTGGTCTCGAACTCACAGAGATCCGCCTGCCTCTGCCTCCCGAGTGCTGGGATTAAAGGCGTGTGCCATCATCGCCGGGCTCAAAGGAGAATTCTTGCACTACCCAGACAGGAGGGGGTTTTCCCCCTTTGACCTAAGTGGGGATGAACTGGTGGGTAGAGGTAGAAGCCCGCGGACCCATATACACCCGTCTTCCCTTCCTGCCCCAGGACTTATTTCCTCTTGCCTCATTCTTACAGTCAGTCAGTTCTGGAAATGCATGTTGCTTCCTTGGAAGGCCCAGTGTCCCAGGGGACACACTGGATTTAATTTCGGGCAGAGTGACACAGATTCTCTGCATCTCATTTGAGCTGGGAAGCTGTTTTCACTTGCCTTCTCTCCCAGTCCTATGTAAGGCAAGCGCCGCTCTTGATGGCATCTCTGGGGTGGTGTGGGTGTGTCCTGCCTGTAGTGACAGGCCCTTGACTGGGAAGGCCACACCAGGCCTCAAGGCTCCTGGGAGGCCGCTGCCACGCGGCGTGAAAAGATCTCTCTGATCCAGTTCTTCAGTGTGCGGTGTTGTTCTATGGAATCTTATTCTGATGAAAATCACTTAAGGAATAGATATCTATTAAATACCTGCTGTGTTCAAAACAAGCCTTAAATATTCTGTGTAAAGGTTGATCCTTAGTCCCATGTAGTTCAAAAGGAAGGCTTGGAGACATGAACAAAATGACATTACCATATTACAACTGCACAGAAATATGAGTCCTAGGACAGATGAAAATTTGCAGTAGCTTGATTAAGAAACAATACATTGCACATTGTAGGTTTTGTAATACAGAGAAACAAGAAGAAAATGATTAGAAATGACTGTTGTTGGCATTTTAACCAACATTCCTTGAGACATCTTGCTGTGCATACACACCATATAGTATACATACATACCATATATTATACCTACACAACTTTACATAACAGGGTAATATACTTACTATTTGTAACCTGTCCCCCACCCCAACTCAGCATTATGTCAGGAACCGGTTTCCTTATCAGTAAAAATAGAGGCAATTATATTGAATGATAACAGAATATTTCATTACATCACCATCATGTATTTAGCTAGTCACTTAAATTATTTCAGTATTTAAAATGTTCCGTACAGCCAATGGATAAGTGTACACGGTGTCACTGGGCTTCACTTGATTGAAGAAAAGGGACATTTAAACTTGGGCTTTACACTGCCATTCATACCTCAGAGTCCAGTTATCTTGGGTCAGATCCTGCTGGTGATCTGCCCTGGTCTGCTGGTGTAACTGCCCAGCGGGTCAGTTATTCCAGGGTTGTAACCCGCCTGGCAGGTCAGTTAGTCCAGGGTCCCGAAGAGGTGCTATCTGAAAAGATGGGGGGGGGGGGACGAGGCCAAGCAAGATCTGTTGTCAAGGTCTCCGTTTATTAGCGTAATGGTTGTGGCTTATATAGCCCCCAGATGAGGAATTTGGTTGGGTTGGGATGGGAGCAGGGGCATGGCAAGGGCAGGAAGGGATCTTGCAGCAATGGTCACTAGTCGACATTTGGTCTCGAGTCGACACACCTCACCTAGTGTTCTCTATGCAAGCGGAATCGTTCCTTTTGTGATTCCAACCACAAACAGTTCTCTAGATAGTTGGAATGTGGGGCAGGTTCCGCTAACAGATAGCTCTCAAGATAGTTGGGTGTGGGGTGGGCTCTGCCAACAAACAGTTCTCAATACAGTTGGGGTGTGGGGCTCTCTGCAAACATCCCCAGGACAATGGTCCCTGCAATACTTTTTGGGGAAAATGGCTCCTGACATGCTGGGTCCTGAAGCACTTGGGATGGATCTAGCATGTGGCCTCTGTGCGTCTCTATCAGGATACTCTATAGCTGTGGGACAGGAGTTGAGTCACCGTTGTTAACAGGTGACAGGGATTGGCAGGCAACAGCCCCAGTTCCTTGGCTTGTCATGCCATGATTGTAAGTGGTGTTTTCCATTGACTCTGGAGAATTCAGCTCAGCTGTGGAACCTGGTCTCCTATTTGTGGACTCCTTCTCCCAATTCATCCTCCCCACCCCTTTTATTTTTGAGACAGGATTTCTATGTTTAACAGCGCTGGCTGTCCTGGAACTCACTCTGTAGACCAGGCTGGCTTTGAACTCACAGAGATCCATCTGTCTTTGCGTCCCCAGTGCTGGGATTAAAGGCGTGTGCCACTACTGACCAGCTTTCCCCCTTTATTAGCCAACTTTGTCCCTCTCTTGCTGGGCTCTCTGGTTCATCTCCTCAAATCTCAGACTCAGGATCTGCTTTTGATAAAACTCAACGGAAGGCAACTTTTATATTACAGGCGCAAAGTGTGGTAAGACCAAGTAGTGCACCTGCCTGGGTGTCCACATCTCATCCCTGGGACCTAGGAACATATTCTATTACATGGCAAACAAGACCGTGGATGTTGTCAAATATGTAATTGTGAGACTCTTGAACTGAAGGTTTGGCGAGATGGATCAGAAGGTAAAGGTGCTTGTCGTCAAGCTTGTCAATTGATCTGGATCCCTGGGACTCACATGACAGGAGGAGAGAATTGACCCTCACAGGTTGTCCTCTGATCTCCACAAGTACATTGTAATATGTACATGTGCTTGTTTTTGCTCGTGCACGTGCGTGTGTGCATGCACACATACACACATACTCATGCACACACTAAATAAGCAAATGTATTATTCAACTAGAAGTCCAAAACTAGCCACAAAGTTCCTTGACAGTTAAAGAAAGAGACAGGAGAGAGCCAGAGAGAAAGGTCAAAGGTCACAGAGAAGCAGTGTGGTGTCTAAAGATGGAGGGAGCCGTGCCAAGGAGAGTGGGGTGGTTGCTGGAACCTGGAAGAGACAAGAAGCTAGTCCTCTCCTCCACACAGCCTTTGTAGGGACCAGGGGTGTCCCACGTCGGTTTTTGTTCTTTGCCATCTGGACTGGGCTTCTAGCCTACACGACTGTACGAACGCTGTGACAACCGTTACAGCAGCAAAAATACTGAATACAGAACGTTGCAGAACGCAAGGCGGCTGATGCCGGAGCGTCTCAGGGAGTGTATGTTATTCCAAAGCTGGTCTTGAGCAAGGAAGGGCCGAGAGGAGCAAATAGGAGAGGGGCTGGTCAGGAAGCTCATTCCTTCCTCCTGAGTGTAAGACACTTTGCTCTGGTTAAGTTTAGAGTGGCTGACTCACTGTCTCCTAACAGAGGCTCCTGGCCTCCTGACAGGCTGGGAGTTTGTGTATTTTAATTTATGTGAAGATTCTGTTAGATTCCTTGAAACCTTAACACATATAAAATGTATCTGAGAGAATGAAAAGTTAAAAAAAAAAACCCACTGGGGGAATTCTTGGATTCCACTTGCCCGCGGACCTGATGCAGACATGATGCAGACATCGGAAATAGGACCTGGGAATCCACATCTACAATTGGGTTATGGGATGGGGGTGTGGCTCCGTGGGTGGAACGCTTGCTTGCCTGATAAACATGAGATGCTGGGGTTGGTCCCCACTGCGTCAGGTTCCCCAGCACTGACTAAACCAGCATAGCAAATGCTTGTAGTTCTCAGAATCCTGAAGTTGAAACAGAAAGATCCAGAATTCAAGCTTATTGATATCTACAAAGTGAGTCCAAGATCATCGGGGTTTGTATGGGACTCTATTTAAATAAGCCGAAAGTAAAAAGGCAAAGTTATTTTGACGTGCATAGTTGAAGAGGGCTTTCTCTGCCAGCGCCTGCCCTTGGTGCCTGACTCTTTCAGCCTCCCTTCCTTAGGTGACACAGGCAAGGTCAGAAGGGAAAGGGGTCACTTGGAGTTTTCTACTGTGGTTTCTTGATCCAAAGTTACAGTTTTGCTTCTGTTGGGGACAGGGAGTCCCAGTCATCAATAGCATCAGCAAGTAGCTCTTCACTTGTCATAGAGAGGGTTACCTGTGTCACCGAGGACAGAGCATCAGGCCCCTGAGCCCCTGCGGGTGTTGGGTCTTATAGCTGGGTTACCTTACAGCAGCGTTTCCTCCTTTGCCGGCCGTGACTGCTCTTGCCAGAAGACCTTGGAGAACGGGGTCAGAACGGCTGCTGCTACTGACAGAAAGCTGCTAACTCCAACATTTGGAATACCTCTGGGATTACAGAGGTGCCCGGGGTGTCCTCCCCCAGGGAGGGCCAAAGAGGTCACCTTCAAAGAACGCTTGCCTTGGTCTCCTGCCTTTCTGCAGGGGCCTCTGCTTGTCTAGCTCCGTGCAACTCTGAAATGTCAGGAGATAAGAAATGCCTCTCAACACGGAGGCTTCCAGACACATATGTGACAAGAAATTTGGCACGAGCTGCGCAAGTGTCAGATGTCTAGGAGAAAGCAATATGGGTCTAGTATTTCTGCTTCTATTTTGGTGCCTCGTACACGAGCCTACAGCATTAGGGAAACGGCGTCTCAGCGTTGCGCGATAGCCTTGCTGGCGCTCGGCATGCATGTCTGAAAGTACAGTTGGGTGACATACTAGTCACAGGCCACAGCAAGTTGCCTCCCGGCAGGGGACTGGGTTTCGAGGGGGTGCCCTTGAGGGGCCCAGACATCTCACATCCCGTGGTGCCTCCGGGGGCATGAGAGTCTTTCATCGGATGGCACTGTCGTAGAGGTTTTAGTCAGCTCTTGCAATGTCCTGCAAAGCTGGCAAACGTCCGCACCTTTCAGGAGTGGCGAGAAGGCCAACAGAAAAGGCCGTACTTCCGGCCAGCTGACATA